CATCTAGACTCTACCTTGACATATAAGATATCATCTTATGATTTATATATATATATTTTTAAAGTTTTGGCTGATAGCCAGTCACAGGAATGCATAAGATATTCATCACACAGCAAATTACAAAAAGAAAGAAAGAAAAAGACATAAATAGAAGAAGAGAAACCAAAATAAACAGGACAGCACAACATACAAGGTAGACTTATTTCCTCAAAGAAGTAAATTTCTTTCCTCATTCTCCCTATTCGTATGTGTAATGTGGGGTCTTACTGTTTAATGAATCTTTCACTCCCTGTCACTAACAATGTAACCACCTTGAAAACACTGTATATTGTCTTCTTAGTGCCAAAAGTAGTAGATGGTACAGAGAATCCAATAATTATTTGCTGAATAGATACAGGGATAGATTATTATTTTAATAAAATATGCACCAAACAATCTGGATTTGATAGAATGAATATAATAGCTACAGGTATTAGATTAAATATTAAAATTCAAGTTAAAGTAGAAATTGTTAATTCTGAATTAATGCTATTCTATTACTAATATTGTAGAGAAATAATTGGAAGAATATTGCCATTGATGTCCGGTGGGGGGAAATCTATGTCAAATTCTATCATAAAAAATGCCTGATATACTTTGGAAAATTTCTGTGCATCATTCAGTTAGAGATGTGACTAGATCTCATATCAACTTAATTAGTCAGTATTCAGAACACTCCTTCAAAACCAGCCAACTGCCCAAGAAACTGGTGTGTTTTGTATTCATCAATTATAGCTTAATTTCACAAACATACACATAATCTGTGGCAATATTTAAATGTGAAATGGGACCCAGATTTGGAGGTAGAGGGACATTACCAAAACTCCATTTTTTTTTTTTTTTGGTTACCTTGTATATACAGGCAAACTTTTACTTTAGAAATCCTTTTTTCCTTCCAATAATTAAAAAATAAAAAATGATACTGACAAAAGTCTTCCTTTGATGTCAGTGTAAAAAACCTCCTGAGTTTTTTAAAAGGCTCACAAAAATCTAAGTTATTATCACACGGACTTACAGCATATAAGCAATTGACACTGTATAATGAATTCTTGAATTTTTTAAATGTCTCAAAAACCAAAAGACAAATGTTTTTAAGCCATGATTTTCTTATGGTTAAACTGCTCAAAACATTTGGTGAAAAGCGCATATTCAAACTGATGAGCACAAATAAATCATTCTGACAAGCTTTCCTCTTCAGCTCACACTGGTTTTCCCAGAGTTTAATGGCATCTATTACAATACAAATGCTATGTAAACTCATTTCAGGGGATACAGATTTCTGCTAAGCTCTTGAGAGCCTATACCTTTACTATATGAGGCAAATAATTCTTAATATACATAAATTTCCCTTATAACTGTCATTAAAGTGTCAGGCAACAACTAGGTAAATTATATTATATGAGAAGTAGCATTTACATTGTGTAGTTGTAACAGGCACGAACGACTGCATTCATACATGTGTGAAAATAATAGGAAGATAGGAGGAAGGTCTCAAATTTTAATAAGTCAGCAATTAGATAAAGTATGCTTCTAAAAGTATAGGTTTGCTTCATTAGCTAATCAAACATATCATACTTGGCTGGATGCTAAAGATAAATCTAGTTTATTTTTTACCTACATTCCTCAAATGTGAAGAACCAAAAAAAAAAGTTGACAGATTAAACAGAAAAGATATTTTTGAACAACATTTGCATACCTATGTCTTCATATGTGCCTGTTTCCTGCTATAATGTTTTTAGGATGCCACCTATTTGGCTGCAGTTTGAATATATTTAATAAGTTTTATCCATTGAAATTAGAAAATGACCAAAATTGCAGTTTCTGTAGTTATTTCTCACTTATTGGGCATTTTAATGGTTACAGAGAGTATACTCAAATGCATCATAGCAAAACCTTTGAAAGCCAGAAACTGTGTAAGGTGAAAACCTGTCAGAGAAGAAAAATTCAAATACGTTCCACTAAAATGAGCCACAGCAAAAATGGTAGACTGTACACTATAAAAAGTAGAAAACTTGCAAGACTCAGAAAAACAAGGTGGTGGTTGTTAGGTGCCATCAAGTCGGTACCGACTCATAGCAACCTTATACACAGCAGAACGAAACACTGCCTGATCCTGGGCCAACCTCACTACTGTTGCCACGCTTGAGTCCATCGATGCTGCCATTTGGCCAAACCATCTCGTTGGGGGTCTTCCTCTTTTTCTCTGACCCTCCACCTTACCAATGTAGTTCACTCTAATTCTGGCTCTCACAGGTTTCACTGTATTATACGGAAACTTACTTGCATTTGGCAGGTAAGTCAGGACTCTGACCCAATGTGAAACAATTGTCTTCCTCACCCCATTGAGAAGGTTGAATAGTAGCAATTCACTTTTTGATGTTTCTACTGTGAATACTTTGGAGTAGGACAGAGATCCAATATTTTCTTTTATAAACTTCTTCTCTGTTCTCTTAGACAAATAAGGGCAGGTGAAATATTTTCCAAATCTAGTGAATAACGAATGTGCATATGCCATCTTGATTAAACATATGGAATCCATACTTGGAGAAAAGCCAACTGGAGACCTACTTGAGTAATCTAAACACCCAAGCTGAGAGGGGTTAACATATAAAGATCAGCTCCAAACTTTGAAGTTTTCTGGTCTTCATTTTGTCTAATTAAGACAAGATTTAATAATCAAACCACTGTACAAACATGTACCTAAAAGTATAGGTTTGTTTCTAATTTTAGGGAGAATTCTTAACAGATTTCAAGGAATCAGCTCCACATGACATAAGGTCTCTGATAAGATTTGTTTTTCTTATGGCTAAAATGCAAATGCAGCTTCTCATCTTACTTTCTTCCATGTGACTGGGATTAGCATCTGCTTGTCAAAATATAAAGTGTGATAAAACAAAAATTCTGATACTCGCACACCATCTGAATCTGAAACAGTGGCACCTCTAGGTCTCAAAACTTGTATTTTAAAATATATCTAATTCTTATTAATATTCATAGTATTCATTTGGAGACTATAACTTCCAAAGAATCCATTTACCCATAGTTGTAGAATATGCACATTAATAAGTTTCTAGGAACTAGAACCATGAAGAATAGAAAATATTTCTACAAACAAATACTAATTTTTTTAATTAGTATAACTCCACAGAAATATATTATGAAATAAAAAGTTGGATGTCCAATCTTTACTTCCACATACATTTATCTCATGGATACTGGACATTTTCAAAAAAATAAGTGGTAGGTTTAGGTTGTGCTAAGAGTCACAGAACAAACGAATAAACTTAACTTTACCATGATAAAAGAAATATAACTAGTGTCATTTTCAGTAAGCAATATGTCAATACACAGAGATGAAATTTAGTTGTTCCCTGATGATTAATTTATTTAAAAGTAGTTTGATAAATGCAGAAAAATGGTGTAGCAATACAACATATGTCAATGTGACGACACTGGAAGTATCATCAATGTGTGGTGACAAGGTTAGAGATGGCACTACCACTGTCAGTCCCCTAACCCTCACACGCATCACTAACAGCCACAGAGGACTCAGTTAGAAGACTTTCTGTTCAACAGTGGTGGCCTTTAGATCATGTTCTCTGTGGATCTGGCTTTGTTAATCGAGAGACCAGAGAGAACTGAAAACTTCAGCCACTACTGAAATAAGTTCTGGTGTGGGGTTGTAGGATAAGTACTGGATTGCTAACCACAAGGTCGGCTGTTCGAAACCACCAGCTGCTTCTTGGAAACCCTGTACAGGTGGCTTATGAGTTGGGATCAGCTTGATGACACTTAACAACAACAACAACAATAACACCTGAAATAAGTGTATCCATTATGATACTCTTCTAGTTTCTAACGATAGTTATCCTAAAGATCTTCTGAGGATATTTAAACATTATGCTTATGAAGCATTTGTAGTTTTGTTTTAAAACTCATAATATCATCATACAATAAAGTATTTAATTACCTAATCAAATTATAGCCATCCACTCATCAGTAAACTGTATCATTTCTCAATGTAATGCTTCTTAAAGATGAGACTGCTACTCCTGTGGAAATTTATAGCATTGAAATCCCTACATAGGGTTGCTGTGAGTCAGAATCCACTTAGCAGTGGGGTTGGGTTTGGTTGGGTATCCATACCTCTATGAGATAGTTTTAGCTAATACAGTACAAAGGAGGGGGAATACAATCTTTACATTCAGGACTTTACCATATTCCAGGAATGGGAAGATTGTAAGCCTACCACAGCTGAGAATTGTGGCAAAACTGCACATACCAGGGTCCTTAATGTCCTCTACTTATCACTGAAGACTTTACTATCCCGTCTGTAATCAACATATTGTAACCAATACGTTTGCTCTGTGGGATAATGTGCTGGACTGCAAAGTCGGTTTGAATTGCAAGATCGGTAGTTCAAGCTCACCAGTCGCTCCTAGGAGAACCTGTGCAGGGCCACTATAGGTCTGAATCGACGCAAAGGCACTTAACAGCAATTGTTCTGTGGCTATCTCAGTACGAGATTCCTAAGGAGGGGGTATGGTACTGATATCTGCTTCCATTTCAGCTACTACAAGGCTTCCTGAAAGTATCACAGTTTCCAAGAAACTGCTTCAAATACTTTTTGGAATGAAGTGGGGAAAAATGAAAAATAAATGTAATATGGATGAATACAAGTCACCAAAAATACTTCATTAGCTAACCTTGCCATCTCTCCCAGGACCTGCACAAACGTTTTGACATGTCAGTACTCCACAATCAACTCTGCCTTGACCTTTCCCTATAAGATATTTTTTAAATGGGGCTCTACATGTGTGTGTCTCTCAGCTTCTGTGGAATAAATCAGCTACTCAATCATGAAAGATCTCCTTGATCACTTTGGCTACATAGTCTCATGAATGCAGTGGTGGTTCCCACACTGGTAGTTAAGACATTTTGACTGGGCGTGGGGGGCTTACTTTGTTCATGTGGATCTGCTGCTGGTATTGCTTCTGCTTCTCCAAGAATTGCTGATGTTGCTGCTGAATGACCAGCTGAGCCAATGTGCTCTGAGGCAAAGGTGCAGACTGGGTTCGATTCAGGGGTCTGTGACGGGGCAATTTGTGAGTACCTCTAATGCCAGGTGAAATCCTCTCTTTTGTTGCCAAGGGAGACTGAGGATGTAAGGGAACTCCACCTGAAAAACAAGAAAAAAAGTGTGTTTATGTATGTATGTATGTATGTGTGTGTGTATATATATATATATATATATGGTGGTGGTGGTTATGTGCCCTGGAGTTGGTTCCAACTCATAGTGACCCTGTACAGGGTTTTTGAGGCTGTAAGTCTTTACGGGAGCAGAAAGCTTCCTCTCTCTCCTGCGGAACAGCTGGTAGTTTCGAACTGCTGACTTTGCAGCTCGCGGTCCAATTCATAATTCATAACCACTACGTTACCAGAGCGCTCTCTCTCTCTCTCTCTCTCTCTCTCTCTCTCTCTCTCTATATATATATATATATATATATATATATATACACACACATACATATATGTATATAAACATATTCATAATTTTTATTTAAGACAAGAAGCTACAGAGACTAGACATATGATATATAAATTTTATGGACAGTAGTGAGACTACCAGGCTAACATTAGAAGGAAGTTAGGTTAGGTGGGAAGAAGAGACAGAAGTGTTAAATCATAGGATAAGCATGCATCTATCTGATCATAAGCTTCACCAGTAGTTGACTTGGTGTGTATGAAGGCTGGGTGAGGTGATTTTGGGTGCATGTGTGTGTGTGTTAGTCTGTGTGTTAGTCTGTCTTGGGCAAGGATGGGAAAATTTTTCTGCCAAGGGCCATCTGGATATTTATAACATCATTTTGGACCATACAAATTATCAACTTAAAAATTAGCCTGCTATATTTGGTTAAACATTTAATTAACTCACCCCTAATGCGATGATTGAAACTGTGGTTGCCTTTGTAGGGGGTCAGACCAAATGATTTTGCAGGCAGGCCATTCCCCACCCCTAGTCTAGGGGAAGAAATAAGGATAATTGTCTCTCCCATCAGAGCAAAGTATGGGGACACCCTTGTACAACACTGTAACTCTTTACTAGTGTCTTACTGTAAAGACTATGTGCAATGGAAGATGCTTTGGTAATGCAGTGAGTTAAGCCCTGACTTGCTAACCAAGGTGGGCAACTGGAATTCCCCAGCTGTTCCAAGGAAAAGGATGAGGCAGTTTGCTCCCATAAAGGTTTATGACCTCAGAAACCCTAGGGAACAGTTCTATTCTGTTCTAGAGGGTTGCTAGGAGTTGGAATCAACTCAACAGCCCTGGCTTTGTTTGTTTTTTTGGCATTTACATTTGACTCTTGGTCATATAAAGGCTTTAAAATGCCCTGCAAATAATCCCATTGCTAATTACCAGCAACCAGAAGCTTTTGCTGTCTCATTTGTTCTTTCAACAATAAATGCTGCAGGAGAGCTTGGTGGCTGCTGCTGGGTTTGCCCTCTAAAGCGATGTGGGGATGGCTGGATGCTGCTGGGATGCTGCCCCCATACTGCCCAGGCAGAGGAACACCTTGCCTGAGTGTCTGGGTTTCACACTTCTGCTTTTCTTTGAGTGAATTCGAAGCCTGTGTCAAGAAATAATAAAGATGTTAATCCTCTTTAGTCCATGTCAACCATTAGCTCTTTACATCATTGTAAGTGGCTTATGTCATAATTTTCCAAAACAAATACTCCATCTCATCAAATGGTGGAATAGGAAAAAT